AAACAGCTCTTTCCAAAAAAAAAGTCTCTCTACTAGAATAGAAGAATAATCTAGTCTCTTTCTTCGTTCCATTCCATTATTAATTTAAAAAGGAAGTGGTGTGAGATATCCATTATTCAACGTAAAAGAATATTTCATGAAGCGTCTAATCAGGATTATGACTTCATTTCTGCTTCATATACAGAACATTTTGAGAAATAGCCTACGAAAAAAAATTCTGTATAAAAAAGCATTCCAATGCTAACGTTCAGAAAGAAAACACTATTTTTGCGTTTAAACTGATTTTGTTTTTATTTGCAACGCGTTTCTTTTTTGCAGGCAAGCGAAATAAATATTCACATTTATATTCTGAGTAAAACTGTCGTGTTATGGACTAAAATGTGCTACCATTTAGACAAACATTTTGTAGTATTAGACTCAAAAATATATCGCTTAAATAGATCTGTTATAGAGATGATTGTTATGAGTATTATGTGATAGAATGTGTTTTAATATTACGAAATAAAGAATTAGTTGCGTAATCAACAAAAAACAATTGCAGGTGAATAAGAACAAGTTTAACTTGACTAAGAAATTTCTTGTCTAAGTTTGAAATGCTATAGATAAGATGATGTCGGAGTAACAACTCAGTTAAATTTTTTCCGTACAACGATTATAAGTACGTATTATCTCATTTTTTAATGATCTGAAAAGAACAAAATAATTCGTGGCTTTTATCATCTTCACAAGTAATTAACTCAATTTTTTTTAGTTACTAATCTTTTGTATAGGCCTTCGAGAATTATTAGTTACTCTGTTCTAAACTAGATCTCAAATATGTACAGCATTCATTCAATAATTAATACACTTTAATTTACATAGCTTCGTTCATTCTCTTCAAACACAATTTGCCAACAATACAGATAATAACCATGACCTTACATTCTTATTGTCTTCTTTCTCCGTCTCTTTATATATTTTCCTGTTTTCTACTCCTTCAGCGATCAAACTGATATATTGTAAAAACATAATCTATATCTCATCCTTTTATGTCCCTTGTTAATGAATTTACAATGTCTGAATGAAGTTGAGTCGAACGTAAAGAAAGACATAGGTTCCAAACATATTAGAGAAATGAAACAGTTCTATTTCTGTTTTAAATCAGTATCCTTCCTCACTATAACAGTTAATTCATTAATCAGAATTGAGCATAGCCTCTATGCTATGATGAAAATATAGGAATACAGTATATTTTCTAGCAGTGAAATAGTTGTGTTAGTGTTTATTTATCCATATATGCTTTAAAAACTAAATATCTGTACAGGATTTAATACATTTGATATGTTGTTCAAAATAACGAGCACATTCGAACGAATCACTTTCATTCATTTGTCTATTAATATATGTCTTTTATTATTGTGTTCTGTTAAATCCAGGTTTGGAATGAGCACCGAACGGGCTAGTTTTCATCGGTTTTAGAGTACTGAAGCTAGTCGATTTTGTTCGTTTTTATCGATTTTCACGGTTTTATCGATCCAAAAATATGAGCACAAAAGTTTTTAATTTACAATTTTATAGTTGTCATCTGAATGCTAGCTCTAACTTTTGAACTCGCACTATCTCATAGAACAATAAGAATCTCAGAGAACATGATGAATGTATGATCATGAAAATTTAGGCAGCCACCAAATATTAAATTCGGTAAGAACTAAAGATTTTATATGTCGAAATTTGGAGATTACTTTTCTATACAGTCCACTTTTTCTCAAAATAAGTAGGCGGTTAATTGATACCTTTAAACACATCAGTTTTTCACTGGTTAAGTCAAAAATTTCAACCGATTTCAAGTCTGATTGAACTTAACTACGATTAAAATAACTTTTTTTTACAAAGATATTTGTGTTTTTCTCCTTATTAATTAAAACATGCTTTTGGATGGATCTCAGTCGTTCTTTTATAATCTCATAAATAATCTGATAGATAGCACTCATAGAGATAAATGATACATATACATTTATTTCGTAGAGATATTGAAGTTTCACCCAAAAAAAATTAGATTGTTATTATTAGAAAAAAAAAACAAGAATTTATAGAAAAATTATCTAATGCAGTATAGGTTTAAATGTTTACACTCATAGGAGTATTTCTTTTTCTTGACAATCAATTATACAGTTCGAGCGAAAGATTGAGAGAGCTAGAAACACTAGTTTTAGCACAATCTTTGGAAATTCAAAATGGAGAAGGTCAATTTGAAGATGAAGTCGTAATGACTATTTATGAATCTCTGGAAAAATCCATCGAATATTTTTGACTTTAAAGAAGTACTATTTACCTACTCATAATTAGATTTTTTTAAAAGATCGTAGAAACTCAATGATAGTATACTCGGGATCAAAACTCTTTTCACATCCATTTGTTTCTTGTATACTACTCAATTCCAACTGAATTCTAAGTGATCCTAAACTTTTTCAATCGATTAATTTCTAAAGTTTTGTACTAAACTACTTCTTTGCATCTGTCTTATAGATATGTACGCTTTTCTATTCCTTAGTTCTACCATAAACAATACAATAGCCTATCGCATACTGATAGAATCACCTTGAACAATAGTAACGATTATCTCTTATTCGTATATATTACTTCTTTCTATTTGTGCGCCATTACAACCTAAACAAATTTTGAATATTGACTTTTTTTCTAACTTCGATTTCTTGATCTATGCCTACCTAGCAAAACTGACATCACAGTCAAATATTTGTGCAGAAGATTCTGTTTCTTTTGGCTATTTTTCGGTTGTTCTTTCGTCGTGAGTTCAGTAGACCTAATAGTTGTAAGACAGTAAATGTCAACAATTAAAAATCGCTCTCATATTTCGAGTTTTCTCAGTTGATACTGAATGCAGATTAACAATGTGCTAATTTATTGACTTTTGATCTCTGTACGAGCCTTTCCTAATCTTTTACAAACGAAATCATGCACATCTTTTTATCCTCTTTTTATGCAGACTGTCGGCAGGATGTCAGATAAGAGTAGAATCAACGGATAGAAGCAAATTTCTGCAGGAAAAAAACACACTCTGTATTAATATAATACATTATAAGAGATGCGAACTCGAACAACTTGTTTGCGTTTTAAGTGGAAACAAAAACGCAGTCCAATGTGTTTGAGAAAATATACGTGTAAAATATAGCAAAAACATACGAACTGGGAAAAAGTCGCATTCAACGCATATATTTTTTTTCATGGAGACCTTATATAATCATTCTAGTATTAACATTACCAGTCTTCTTGAAATAATATATCGAAAAGATTAAATTTTTTTTTTTTTCTTCTTGAAATCTTTCATTTATTCACAAAACTTTAGATAAAAATATCATATATCTTCGGTTCAATGTGATTTTTATGTCATAATCGGTAGATGGTACCTATGTCGTATACCTACGTTTCTACAAGAAAAGATTCAAAATAAAATGAACTATAGATCTGATAATGAATGTTAGTCAGCTATGTCATGAAATGGATAGATAAGAAAAATTAATGTAAAGTTAGTTTTGTAACAGCATCAACATATAACTTTCTTCTATAGTTATTCTTAATTAATTTTTTTATATGAAATTTGTTTCTTAATCACACTACTTTTCATTTTTTCTTTTTACTTTTACCATAACTAACTCTTCTCGTTTTTTAAAGATAATTTTTTCATGTTATCAATGTCGTTTGCATTTGTTCAATTGTCTATCTTTAGACTAATGACAATAGACAACAAGAAAAATCATAAATGACAGTATATTCCAATACAGATTGATCTTAGAAATTTGTTAATTAAAAATTCAATGCCAATCAGATGACATATAGTTCTATAGGATATTCCTGTACTATAATAACAATACGATTAGGCATACATTTTCTTTTATCTTATGTAAAATTGCAACTTTCCTAACATACATGATTTATAATGAATACTCAAAACATTTCTATATCTTGAATAATTCAACAAGAAAAAAAAACCAATTGATATATATTCTAGAAATAAAAAAAGTAAATATATTCAAAGATAATTCGTTAGTTTTAATTTAAATTTATAATTTTCGAAAATTCTACTCGAATCATATTATTTCGATGTTTTGTTTTTGCTTAGATTTCAAAATGTCTATCACAAACAAACAAAAACAAATTATTAAATCGACAGTACCAATTTTAAAAGAAAATGGCAAAGAAATTAGTTCTATTTTTTATAAACATATGTTTCAAGCTCATCCAGAATTATTAAATTTATTTAATCAAACAAATCAAAAAAACTGGTACACAACCATTAGCATTAGCCAATACAGTATATTTTGCAGCTGACAATATTGATCATTTAGATATTCTCATGCCTCAATTTCAACTTATTGCTCATAAACACCGTGCTCTTACTGTTTTACCAGAATATTATCCAATTGTTGGAAAATATTTACTCGAAGCAATTGCTAAATTTCTAGGTGAAAAAGCTACATCAAAAATTTTGGATGCATGGTCAACTGCCTACAATATTATTGCTACTATTTTCATCAATCTAGAAAAACAACTCTACGATGAATTAGGTCCAGATAAACGTGATAAAGGATTTATCTCATTTACTATTATTAAAAAAGAAAAAATCGCAAATGGATCAATTGTTTCTTTCACACTTGAACGACATGATGGCGGAAAAATGCATAATTATCATTCAGGACAGTACATAACACTTCGTATAAGAAAAGATAACTTGTTTCATAATCGACATTACAGTCTCATTCAACCATTCGATAATAAAACATATCGTATTGCTATTAAACAAGATAATGATCATGAGCCGAATGGTATTGTTTCAAATGAGATTATTAATAATTATATAGAACGCGATAATATTTTAGCAACTCTTCCAGCTGGTACTTTTATGTTAGTTGAAAATGCTAGACATCATTTATTCATTGCTGGTGGAATTGGTATTACTGTTTTATCATCATTAATTCAAGAATTACATAAACAAGGCAAATCAAATTCTGCAACATTAATTCATTGTGTACCAACAGAAAGTCATGCTGCTTTTACTAATCAAATGCGTTCTATTCTATCTCAAAATCAATATCATTTACTTCTTCAAGGTAGACGTCTTTTACAAGGACTTATTCATAAGATTGTCAGGTCAGATACACATGTATATTTATGTGGTTCAGTATCATTTATGAATAAAGTAGAAAAATATTTGGCTCAATATAGTCATCCATCTTCTCATATTCATATAGAAGCATTTCGACCATCACTTAGTTTAATAAAAAATGCTGTAAAAGATCAAGCAACAACTAAATCATTATAAAAGATCAATGGTTAACATTTATCTCAAGAATATACTTTTTAGTTTTTATCTGTTGTCTTGTCTTATATTAGTTTTATTTGAATAGAACTATATGATATTAATCTAGCATATTTATTTTCTATTTATAATCTATATGAACTCAAAAAGTAACAATAAATAAAATTCAGTAATCAAAAGCAAAGGTTTACTAGCTATGTGATCATGAACATCTCTCATTTCATTTTCTAATTGCTTCATCGATAACTATTAGTGATCATAAGTACAGGAATGGAAAGACAAGAATCAATTATTGTTGATTGAAAATCATTTAAAGATAGTGATGAAAGTGAGCTTATTGATAATGCTATTGAAAAATGTGATATTTCAAGAGATGTTTGATAATGTGTTGAATATTATTTTGCATACTATTTTTGTGTATTTGTGGAGGATTCTGTTCAAATATTACCACCATTAACAAAATTTGATCCAATTCATTGATAAAAGTTCATATGCATATTAAGATAAACCGGACGACTCATTATTAACACAAATGATTTCAACAAAGTCAATTTGAACCTTTATGACAACTACCGTTCAATGATGGTGATACAACATTAATATAGTATTTTATTCGAAGACTTAATAAATCATTAAACACAATTTTTTTTTATTGATTTTTCTTCACATATGAGTTGCATATGTTAATTTACAATAAAAGATTTATCAAATGACGGTTCTTAATGAATACAAATATGTTCCGAAACTTCTGAAGGCTATTTTTCAGAACCATAAGTATTCGAACAACAAGTGTTAAATGAACAGTAAAAATTAATATACCTCAATCACTATGTGAGTGTGGGTGGATGAAGACAAGATTCACGCCCAAGAATGCCGACACGATCTTTGCTTCATACACGTAAGTAAGGTTAGCACCAGATTCGAGTATTTCTTGTCCCGATTCGCTTTCTTACCTGTATTAACTCTCTAAGCGGGTGTGTTAGGTGCAGAATTGAATGCTCTAGTCAATGGCACTAGTTTAAAGGGAGATCATCGGGTAAAAGCCACAATTTTCCTCCCAAAATACTGTACTTTCATCTATGTATCGATAACAAAAATGCTGTATTGCTGGTCCGGATTCGCTCTACAACTTGTGTTAACTTTTTAATCGAGTGTGTTGGATGCAGAATTTAATTCTCTATCGAATATTAATAATTTTGGTGAGAATCATTGGGTAAAAAAATTGTCTTGGGTGTACTCCTAGGTGTGAATGTCATTGTGGGTGTGGATGTTGGTGAATCAATCAGTTCAGCGTGGGGGATTAATGCATCGCTTTTGACCTATTCTGCAGTTTGCCGACACCTATTAGCTTTATACAGCATCGCACGAGCTCATCCTGGAAACTCACATCCGGAAGCACATGTAAGACAATTTTTTTTTTCTAATGACTTACATCGAAATTAGTATTATTCGATAGAGAATTAAATTCTGCACCTAATATAGTCCTTTAGAGACCCAACATAGGTGACTAGGTGAATGGAGACAAGGATTGCTGGCTAGATTGAGTCAAAAAACGAATACTTAGGATCACATCGCCGTTTTTTGTTTGATAATCCCCATTGAAAACAGCACTGTTCGTTCGAAAATGCAATTCTGTAGTTCACACAATTCTTTGAAAACTCAACACAGCTTAGGAAACGAATCCGAGCAGGAAATACTATATTCGCATTATGAATATATAGGAAAATATAGAGTATTTAAACCTCTTTTTTTGCGCGATGGTGCCACTTGAAAATAGTACCGTTGAATAAAGAATTAAATCCTGCATTCAACACACTCGATTAAAAAATTAACACAAGTCGTGTACCGAATCACGACAAAATTTACACCCGAGATCTGGTGCTGGACCCAGTATTTGAGGAATAACCCATCTTTTGCACGCTAACACCCCTTGGAAATAGTAGCATTGGATAGAGCGTTAAATTCTGCACCTAACACAATCGCCTAGAGAGTTAACACAGGTAAGAAAGCGAATCTGGTGCTAGCTTTACTTACGTCTGCATATCTCAAAGAAAATATGGAAGTTTTATTTTTAGAAAACCCACTTTTTGTTTTTTGTTTTTTTTTACTAGATTATCTTTGTTAAGGATTATATCGAACAATCTCGACCATATTACTGTATTCTTTGATCCTAGATGAAGTCCAATGTTTTCTTCTAGGTTAAATTGCCACAGTCATATCTATAGATAAATATGTAATTTGTGATTGTGAAATATGATCTTTTGTTTTCATTCGATTAAGGTTAAATATTATTGATGTTTTTTTAATCAAATTTTTCTTTCTTTCTTTCTTTCTTTGTCTTTATAATGAAATCTAATGATATATGAAATTTGCATTTAAACCCTAATCATTGTAGTCGCTACTGATCATAAGATTTTATGTAATATGCATAAGACTCTTGCCATTCTATCTCTCCTGATCTTCGTTGCTACTATCGATGGAAAACCGCTGCGTTCATCATCATCAATAAAGACAGATGCTAAAGAAATAGCTGAATTGATAGAAAAGATGTGGGCTGAAAGTTCAAATGATGAAAAGAATCTACTAAAACAAACGTGTCAAGTTGTTAAACAATGTTGTCCATCTACAGCTTATTCAAAACTGGTCTACAATCCAAAGAGCGTTACCTTTAATGATCCAGCCAATGAAATTGGCACTATATGTTTGAATACATCAAACCGTGCTAATATCGCTAAAAAATGCCCATCAGCATTAAAACTAAAACCTTCGCCTTCATCATCAACACAATTTCACAAACTTGACCTCTATTCTGACCCAGAACTTCTAGCAATCGCTGCTAGAATCTTGAAAAACAAATCGGCAATGGACGATTTTCTAAAACATCTACCTAATGCCTGCAATACAAGTGAACAGTATGCACTTTTGTGTTTATCGAGCAAGAAATTGTTACAATCATGTATTGGCAAACATATTCAAAAAAAGTTTGTTTCCAGTAATAAGGAGGCCTATGAGACCTATGTAAAAAGTGTCAAAATGATGCTGACTGATACAACTCTACTGATGAAAAAAGCTAATCAATTATCGACCAAGAAAACATAAACGAGTTTGATTTTTTCTCTTTTTGATTATAGTTTTAAACAAATCCAGAAAAATTATTAAATGATTTAATTTTAAATAATAAAATAAACTAATTAATAGATACTGAAAAGTATAATCGAATTTTGTTTGTCTCGTAAATAATCAAGGTTAAGAAAGTTTGTTAATAAACTTCTTAATTAGAAAAAATTTTTAGATATAGAATGAATCGTATTTGATCCATTATTTTTCGGTCAAAAAAAAAAATAGTCGGTAAAATTGAAATCGATGAAAATGGAATTCAGCGAAAGTGGACGTCCTTGGTAAGCATTTTACAGATCTCCGAACATGAAAAACTAAGAACGATCACAAGAAATGAAATGAATAGTCATTTGACTTTGTTTCATGGTTTTCAAACAAAAAAAAAATAGAAACATGTGAAATATCGTCAAAGAAAGGAATTTTCAACGTAATACAGGAAAAAGCGAACGACTTCAATATCAGTACATGACAATCTTTTGATATACGAAGTTTACTTATTTATCATTTTCATGTGAAATATATTTGTGTTAAATGTAATCATAAATGTACTCGAAGCAAAACTCGCATTCACATACCATACTTCGGTCTAAAAATAGAAATTCTTTACAAGAATCAATTTCAAAAATGAACAATATAACCTCATAGTGATAACAATTTCTGGTACAAGCTTTTGACCTAATTCAAGCTCCAAACGAAATTGTCGAATTATCAATGCTAACATTATTTTAATTTTCTACATGGCAAAATTTTGTCCGATACATGAATGAGGTCCTGCAGAAAATAGAAACATTGGTTTGTCTGATGGATTGTAATCGAATCTGGATGAATCAAATTTGAATGCTTCGTACCAATACTTTTTCGAATTGCTTTACATAAATCAAATCAAAATAACACATGCAATAGAAATCTTACTGATGCAGCATGTAGAAATTGAGAAAAATCCTAGTTCTTCTCTTGATATGAATCTCTTTCTCATCACTGGGGTATGGATGTTGATGTGGGTGTGTTGTTATCAATTCAACCCACACTCTATAGATACGCTAATTAGTATAAATAATCCGAATTTGAACTTTTAATGCAGCGAAATTATCTTATTGTAAATGTCAATCAACAGGGCAGGCATTTTCACATTCGCCAGAGTTAGAATACAACCAATATACAAAAAGTTTTAACTAGAAGAATTTTAAGTTTAAGTTAAACTCGATAGATTATGTCATAGTTTATTATAAATCATTGACATTAATCTTAGCTTATCTAGAACAACCTATTAATTGCTGTTGGATCAACGAAAAAAATATTATAACTTCTTTTTCCTCGTTTGAAAAAAAAATCTGATTTTTTGCCTTTTATTTGAAGATCTTCTGGTTTCAAAAATATGAAAATTTCGTAATTCTGATTACGATACCTAGCAACAATAAGTTTATTGTTTAATATACTATGCTAGTGAGCTGATATTAATTGATTCGATCATTCAACAAACTGATCAATCCAATATGTTATGATGGCATTCATTCTATGGATGTTATTATTGGTGTAGAATAAAAGAAAGTGAAAATAAAGTAATGAGCTTCAGTTTTTAATCAGTTTGAGCATGATATTGTGATTACTGGACAAATCAAGGGAGGAAAAGCGGATTCGGGATTTTACAGATTCTAAAATCGAAAGAAGATTTTTTGGGATTTTTGGGGTTTTTCGGGATTTTTTCGAACTTTTAAACTTCTTATTCCTTGTCTATCATTTGAATATTGTATTTCCTATTGTAAAGCAGGGTCCTATCATCACGAGATACATTGACTTGATTAAATCAATCGTCCTCTCTCATTCACAACAATGGTATTTTTGAACACTTTTGACCAGTCCTCTCGTCAAAGTGTAGAAAAAAAGAGATCGCAAAACGCTTAATGTCTTCTATTTTTTGTGTTCATTCATACTAGGAGTGTCGTCAGCTTTCGTTGTCATGTATTGAGTCTTCTTAGTTATGTCTGTCTCAAAAAAGGTTAAGAATCGTATGTGCTAAAAAAAAATAGTCATATTCCAAGAAGGAAAAGCGGATTTAGGGATTTTTGAGTTTCTTTGAATTTTTCGAGTTTTCTCGCATTCCTCAGGTTTTTTGTTTTATATTAGCTTAATTTCAATCCGGTATGCCATATCTCATCATTCAAATTGCCTGTTTTTTCTTCAAGATTATCTCGCTTCTTTCTCTCACTTTCGGAGAACGGCTGGCAGAAAACTATATTTGTCAGACCAACTTGATGTCAATTAATAAATGAAAAGTTATCATAGGCTTAAATCAATTAATTATTTCCTTCAAGCAGATATTATAGCCCCGATAAGTCAAAATGACCACTATTTTCGTCATTTTCTCCAACATGGTAGGTCCCAGAGTTTTGCAGAACAACAAAAATTGGTCCCGCGTCGTGTGTCTCGTCTCATTTCATGTCTCACATTCTACTCTGCCCCACGCTATTTTCCATTTTTCAGCCGCATCCCGATCTGTCTATTTCTCAAGAATTGTTTTCAACTGTTTTATTAGCGTAATAGGATCTTTTCGGCTAACAATGGTTGAGTTAATTGTGTTTCCAATAGATGAAATGCTCTTGAAGAGAAGTTACGAAAAACTATTGTTTATTAACTCGATGGGAAAGAAACAGTCCGAATGGGGCGAAGAAAAATCTAGTCCCATTCTGTTCCATCCTACTCCGTGTACTTCCTATTTTTCAGTCTCGTCCCTTCCTAAAAGTGTACAAAATTGTATTTGTTCCGCATTTCACTGAGTTCTAGTATGTCTCATCAAACTAAGACTTTTTATATAGGTTCTATTCACTATTCGGAATGCAAAATCATCCCGAAAAAAATTGAAATATCAAGAGCTCTGTGAAAAACGATAGTTTGCAACTGAGACTAATTTTGTAAAATGTGATAAAAAAATCAGCAAAAAATTATCTGAAAAAAAAATCAGGCACAGAAAATAGTATCTAGTGTGTGCAGAAGCAAATTCAGTCAAGGGGGTAAAAGCGGATTTTTTTGGATTTTAAATCCCACGAAATCCAAGAAAATCCGAGAAAATCCTGAAAAAACTCAAAAAATCCAGAAAAATCCCCGAAAATTCGAAATCAAAAGTGGGCTTCAGAAATATCCTTTAGTCATATTTTTCAAATGTTTCGAACATAAATAAGCAGTTTTCAAGGGCACTCAAAGTCAGAAATGACATCCCATTTCAAAAGAAAGCGTCACACGACACGCGAATCTTCTCATGAGCGTGCTACAACTCCAAACTACTATAAGGGAGTCGTATTTTAATTGTATCATCGCAATGATGAAGTAAATAAGACTACGGGTGTTGGTGTGGGTGTGAGCTGTGTGGGTGTGGGGTGTGAGGTGTGAGGGTGTGGGGTGTGAGGGTGTGGGGTGTGAGTGTGGGTTATTGAAAAAGAATAACCCACACCCGCACCCTTCAAGAAAATAGACTACTTAAGGTTTTCGGGCTATAGGAATTCGAATCTATGGGAAATTTGTCAAAATTCTTGAGTTCAGTTTTCTCGTTCAAGAAAAGGTTAGTTCTCATAGTTTACTCCTACCTTATAAAATTCAGCTGTTTCCTGGATTTTTTTAAATGTCGTTAAACGATATTCACAAAAAAAAGGACTCGAAATGATCCGTGCTGAGAAAACAACTCACTAGAACTCATATGAATTGAATTAGAATGTAAAAACAAAATTTGCACGAAATTTGTTTAAATTCTAATTATAATCAAATTTCGAGGAAAAAGAACGTCCTATTAAGAATATTAACATTTATTTTTTGATGCTTCATTAGCAGCAACAATACAATATGATTTTGTTCGTCCTATTCATTATGAAAAAATAGAATTTGCTAAAGGTTCAACATCAGTTAATGTGAAAAATTTAAAACGTCAAATGATTGAAGAATTTACACGACAAAAACTTGAACAACAACGTACATTATCACTTGATATAAGTACAACAAGTCAACAATCATCATTATTACATAATAATAATCAACAACTAATTATTGAATTTTCTCTATTATGTGAAAATCTATCTGATCATGGACATTTATCATTACAAACAAATTTACCATCAGCATTTTATTGTATATTAATTAATTGTAATGAAAATAAGTTATATATGAAAAGTAATTCAAAACGTGATGATTTATATATACAAGAATATCCATTTACAGATCGATGTGATCTTTCACAATTATCTTATTCCTATACAAGTAATTCAAATCTATCTATAACATCATTTATTGTTGATTAAAAACAAAGTCTTTCTTTTTTTTTCTGTGTACGTGTTTATGTACTTATTATTTTTTTGGTGACTTTAATAATAAAAGTGTATTTTATTTAAAAAAAAAGAATGAGAAGAATTTCTGTACATAGAAAGAAACACAGCACACCAATGTTTAAAGATATTTTATGATTATTAATAAAATAATTGCGATGAATACAATAGATTGACAAGGAACAATTATATTTGTATGATCAAACATATTATTGATTGTTTGACTGTAAGATAATAATGATCGACCAATTAAATAAACAGCAAAACTTGGAGGATATATATTAAATGATTGAACTATTGCATTAACAGATTGATCAAAAAAACGAAAAATTGCGGAAAGTTATTTTCTCTGGGACTTTCACATTCTTACAGGTTCAAATAACCTTTTGCTTCTCTCCATGATTCTTCTTTATTCACAAAACTCCAAACTACAATGAATGATACATAAAGAAGATGGATATTTTATTGAGCACATCATTTTTTCATAAACAATTACATTTACCGTTTCAATAGATTTCGGTTAGAAACTAGTTTTGAGACAACAGATGTGTATGCATGTCCGTATGACTTTGAAGTATTTCAACGAGACTATATTTCTGCAGCGAGTGAATCGGCTGATATTCGATTGCAAAAATCATTAGACAAATGTACCGTCTCCGAAAAAACACTGTCAGTAGTATCGATGCTTTCCATAATAGAACACAGAATGAATCATATAAACAATAATAGGCTGTAAAAGACAGCTAACTAGAGACCTGCATCAGAATCAGTTTCGGAGTCAACTAAATTTCTTGACAATAATTAATTTTTAACATCAGAGTTTTTATGCGTTGTAAATTTTATTCTTTGATGGGCTTTCTACAAATCGATGTATTTTGAAGGGTCAATCAATGTCATATCGAGGCCTACGGACACGAAGAAAAGTTGCAGTCGAAAAAATCGAAGTCAAAGTTGGTTCAAACTTACTCTCCGTGTCCGCAGACCTCAACTTGATGTTGATTGGGCCTTGAAAGTGCATCAGTTTGTAGGAAACTCATCAAAGAACAAAACCTACAACGTACAAAAATTCTCATTTTAAAAAGGAACTATTGGCAAGAAATTTAGCTGATTTGAAAACGACTCCAACATTGATTCTGATGCAGTTCTCTACAGTTAACACAATCTACACCATAGCAACGGATTTTATTGTCTCAAATTTTGCAATAAAAAATAAACTAAAGTTTCTAATATGAAAAAGCGGAAAAAAGGTGGAAAAGCGAAAGCGGTGGCAACTCTGGCATGGGTGTAGGTGTGATTTAGTTATTTTCCAACACTCACACTCTTCAACAGCGTTCATCATACTCTAAGACAAAAGAAATACAAAGTTCGAAAATTAAATTCAAACGTCTTTGTCAAAATTTGCTCGGTGTATCTGGTATTTCTCTTACAGCTAATGGAATGGTACGATTTCGATGATGATAATTTTTGAAATGTCGAATAGTTTTGACTATCATAGGAACAAAAAGCTTGAGTGCAATAGTCAATCCTCCGAATAGACCAATGATACTTGTCACAAGATAAATACTGTCGACTCGTTGGTTATATGAATATGTGCATGAAATTGGTGCACATGATGAATAATATTGATTATAATCAATACTATGTTCCAATCGATCGACTAGAAGTTTGTTGATGAGTGTTTGAACAGTAACATTAGGAGAAGAAAGTGTAGGATCAAGCGATTGAAAAGTAAGATCTGAATTGAAATAGATCGATTTAAGTTGATTGAGACATGTTTGATTATAAAGACATTCGAGAGTTGATTGAAGAAGTGACTGAAGTGGATAACAACCGACACGAAAACCGGGTATAATCCATTCATCAATCATTGCTACTGATGTACACATATGATTAATACTGCATGAACATGAAGAATTATGATCATAATAAGAGCGTGGTTCAGTCCAGAGTGAAGCATATTGAATTGGTTCAATCCGTGAAGTAAAATACCAATTAGATTCAATTTCAGAAATAATACCATTTCCTTGAGAAACTTGTTGAATAAAATCAAGTGCACGAAGAAATGCACGTGATGTTGATAAATAGAAATGAGTGAGAGCTGTATCGATCTGTATTTGAATTGTTGTTCGTGATTGAACTCTACCCGTTACCAATGTATTCGAATAAAAAACAATTAATGCATCATTGAACGTGCTATTGGCTAGAGTACATAATGAATTAAGCCATCGAAATTGTGGTAAAATAAAGAGACGATAATCAAAATAAGAATAATTAAAAGTATTCAAAGGATTATAGATTAAATTTAAAAAATTGATTGAAAAAATATCACTACTACACAGTTGATGCAATCGATAAGAAATCGAAATGAATGTATCATATTGAATCGAAAGATTTTGACAAAGACAATTAAGTGTGCTTGAATATATTTTATGAGATTCAAGTTGTTCAAATGTATTCAAGGATGGATACTGTATAGTAACATATTTGATATCTCCAATTAACAATGTATATACAATAAGAATAGAAATACTAAGTATGAGTAGAAGCAAGTAGATACGAGTAGAAATAATTTGTGTTTTTAAATGATATGCATTATCATTTGTTCCTTGATGTTCAAATAAATTGAATTCCAATGCTTTTTCTTTGAGCAAATTGTATGCATGGTAGAAACGATCAGAAAATGTACTAGTTCGATCTAATCAACAACATATTTTATTGAACAATAAAATTACTCATACAAATCTAGAGTTATTAATGAACAGTAGTGATGAAATGAGTGTTTCAATCTTCCCTTCACATCGGCAGGCTAAGTCTCTCACCATAGTTTTGATACCTATATGCAGACTTTAGAAATAAGACGATGGGCAGATATGTATGTTCTTCGCCGAAAAACGCAACATCGAAAATATTTTTTGGCCACGAAGGGCGCTGCAAAGGTGAGGGTAAGGGCAAAATGAATTGATCTTGTCATGCTTGACAAGTGCATGCAGAAATTAAAGAGTTCGCAACGGTCTACAGCATTCCCGAGGCATTCGATGAAATGCTTTTCGACGAAGAAGCATACAATCTTAATAGAGCATTAATGAAATTATAAAAAGTATTTTAAAAAATTCTATTATAAGTTGTTATTGTGAAATAAAACAAAATACAGTTTTGTTTAATTTTTGAAGCTGTTTTTAATGATATATTTGAAGGTTAAAAACTATACGAAATTTTGTATTAATTAATTATTTGATAATAATTATTAACTAATATTGTTTAATTAACAAAAATCAATGGTTTGTATATATCTTAGGTCTGATTACATATAACAGTAAAAGATATCTTACTCTCTTTCTTTTCATAGCAAAAAACATAAAAAATAAAAAGTGTCTTAAATTTTTGTGGTTCACTTTATGTTTGACATGCATTAATATGAATTGATCAAAACTTAAAAGAAAATTTGTCAGCATTCATAACGAGTTTTCATTTTTTGAGCTTTTATATAAAAAAAAAAAGTTTCCAAATCCTGATTTTACACTCTATTACAAAAATCAATTATTTATCAAGTACAAAAGTTGTTTTTTTTTTAATTTTTCAAAATAAGTAGCAAATTTTTTTAAAATAGTAAACCAAATCGTCCAAATATTATCATTTTTATGATTTGAAAAGATAGTTTTCATAGAAGAATAATAATTCACATCTATGACCTAGGTGGACATTACTTTCAATATTTACCTGTTAATAATTCATTACGTCGTCTGTATATTCGATTTCGAATAGCATTGACAAAAAATGGAATAGTGAGTCTCAATGCAACACTTAATCCACCGAGCAAACCAACAACTGTTGTAGTTATAGATAAAACATTGTTACGTAATATTAATGTATATGAACACTGTGGGCTTGCACATTGTGTATAATATCTAGAAAAATTAATCTGTTCATTCCATCGTTCGATCATGAGTTCATCAACTAAAGTTCCAATCATTGTTTTTGATGAAAATCGAGTCTTAGACTCTTGAAGAATGGATACATTCAGTAATTGAAGATAAATATTTTGTTCTTTAAAAGCATCGAAACATGTTTGATTAAAAAAACATTCAAGTGTCGATCGCAATACAGCTTGAACCATCGAACAACCAACATATAAAGTCGGCACAGGATAAATAACGCCACGATCAGATATAGTAATTCCAGTATAAGTGATTATTTGTAAACATTCATTATTTAATGCGCATGAACAATTATTTTGCTTTGTTGTCGGTATCAATTTAAAATTAACAGATGAACCGTTAGTAACTGGTTGATAAGATGCAAATTCAACATTATTTTCTAATGTTGAGAACATTGTTCCAAGATATGATTGAATAAGAGAAATAATATGTTTGAAATTGGTAGCTGTTTGTGATTCGAATTGATTGAAAGCATCCTTTGTCCGAATAATTAATTCATCAGAGGATATTGTATGGCTAGTAATTATAACTGATTGATTGAAAATTCTCCATGCATCGGATACAGTCTGTTCAGTCAATGAACAAAAAACTTTTAAAATGATAAAGAAACTTTGAATAGCTTTGAATTCCATTGCACTAAAACTTTTGCCTCCTGAAGAAATAGTCCATATATCGGATATAAATGGACTCGAACAAACTTGATGATATACAGGTGAAAGAGATACAAATGAACTATATTCAATAGCTATTTGACTACATGGACATTTAAGTGTTGACTTATATTGATTCAATAGATTATCATAAATCATTTCAGATGGATTTCGAATTATGATTGTTGACATATGAAGTGTTACGGCCGTATAACTAATGAGAATACCAGTCGACATACAAAGAAGTATCAAATAAATACGTGTCGAAATTATTGCCGTATCTAATGCAAAAGGATCGCTACGTGATTTAACATCATCGAAAAGATTTATTCTGAAAATTTTTATTTTAATCATTTCCCAGATTTCATCAAATCGTTTGTTACCATTTGTACCTATGTAACAACAAAAAAAAGAATAAATATTGTCTTATTTTCACGAGATAGTCTATTCTACAAATTGATATTTTAAAATAGCTAGAAAATATTTGTTATAATTTCTAAAACTTTTTTTTGTTGAAATCATATTATTGAATTAATTATCAAAAGTGATGTACATATAGGATATGAACACATATTTATACAATAAAACTTAAATGTTTAATGTTCACTCCGTCTTATAGAGAGAGAGAGAGGCAGACATGTCGATATACTGTTCTTTTAATCTGGTTAAAAAATCCCTGTTGATTAAGAAAAAGCGTTCATGTAAAATGAATGTTATTTCATTGTACTTCATATTTTAATTCAGTACAAATTACATTGAAAAACTGTAGCTGTAGTTTAAATGTATACTGGGAAAGATCAGATTTTCATTTCTATATTTATAGACGCTCTCGATCAAGATTAAACATTATTCGTTGAATTTTCTTCGTACAACTGTATAAAATTTCAGATTCAATAACATCAAACAATGAAAGATCTCCAATATAGTTTTGAATCTGAGATATTCTCGTTTGTAGAAATCGACAGAAGTAGAAGGTCATTTTATTAAATTTTCAATTGGTGACTAAGATATATCAAAAATCTAATCAATCAATAGATCGTATCGTCCATAATTCAAGAAGAACATGATATAGAGATGAACCATTTCAAATTTCTTCTAGTTCTATCGAATTTCATAAACAAATGCATATTAGATTGAAATTGTCATCTAATATTTGGTGATCTTATCTCATAAGTAAAGTGCAGTTATACGAGAATAAATAGGATAGTATCTATTTTGCAAAGAATAATCTTTTAAGACATATTTATCATCTCATCAAAATGTATTTATCATTATTTTTAAGATTATTGAATAATATTATCAATCAACTTACGAATAGTTTTCTCACTTCTTTGACGAATAAATTGATTGCGCCATTTTGTTACTATCAGTGGTATACAAACACGAAGAACAGCTGTAAGTCCACCATAGATACCAAGTAATTTTGTTATTACATATAAAATATTACGTTGTGTGTATCTATATGTACATATATAAGGTATACAATGGTTATAATAATTCGAAAATGAAATTATTGTTAGCCAAGTTTCAAGAAACAACTCATTAGTTAATTCTTCAATTGTTGTTATTGAAGAAAAACGTGTTTGACTATGATTGAATGGATAAATGTTTATATTCGGAGATATTGGAAACAATATTTGAATCATAGTTAAACATTGTGAATTAAAAAAACATTCAAGTGTAGATTGAAGAATTCCTTCAATAGCATAGCAGCCAACTTTAAAACCAGTTACATTACCCATCGGTTGATCATGCCATAAACCATTTCGTGCAATATCATAAGCAATATGATTATAAAAACCTGATGGTAAATAACATGATGTTGTAAAACTACAAGAACAATTCATTCTAAACAAGTTGAATATATCAGTCCAAGAAAATGCACTAACAGTATTAGTTGAATCGTAATATAACATATTAATAGTTGCTGTTGACAATGCCGTTTGTAATCGATTACTTTGTGTTAAATTTCTAATAAGATGTAATAAATGTTTAACATTATTTGCTGTTGATATTCTTAAAAATGAACTTTCAGCATAACTTCGTTGTTCAAGTGAAACTTCGGAAAGAATTTGTGGTGAAAGAAAAGTATTCGATAGAAAATCATCAATTGCATCATGAACTATTTGTTGAACAAATGAACAGAGTGTTGCAAGTAATTGAAAATGACTACTAGCTAAAGAACGAAAATCAATTGGCAAAAAATAAGTTGTATTTGAATTAAAAAGTAATTCAATCCATTGATCTTGAATATATATACTTGAACATATAGGATGATATTGTGGTGAAATTGAAAGAAATGAACCATAGGAAATAGCAATTTGACTACATTGACATTGTAAAGTTGTTTGATATTTGTTAAATAAATTTTTATAAATTGTTTCAGTTGGATTTTGAATTGTAATTGTTTGACTTTGTCCTTTGAATAAAGTATATCCAATAAGAATATTAACGGATAATAAGAGTAAAAATATATAGATTCGTGTTGAAATAATTGCTGTACGATGATGAAAAGCACTTGAAAGAGAAATTTCATTTTCAAATAAATTAAGTTTGATTATTTTTTCTTTGAGTTCAATAATAATTGGATACATTATAAGAAGAAAACTACTGAAGTTTAAAATTATTGTTTATGAAAAAAAAAAAACTCAGAAATGTAAAGAACTATACTATATGTACTTAGAAATAGAAAGAATAAAAACATATTTTTTACTTCAACACATTGTATTTCAAAGCAATTAGCTTAGAAGTAAAATATTCGATGCATACTTTATATATTGTAAATTAAATTTTCTTATTTTTATTTTTTTATTTGAGTTTTACCTTGATGAATATACAAATACTAAAATATTGTTTAGAAGAAGAAAATTATTAATTGACAATTAAAATTTGAAGATTACTAATTGGAAATTTATTTTTAAAAAATAACAACAAAAATTGATGAACAATTATATTTCTGAAATTTTAGTATTCAAACTATTGCTTTTCTATTATTTCATTTCTTATTTGAAGAAATCTTTAGAAGCAAAATAGCTATCGTATGAATGTGAAAAATGATGTGCTTTCAACTTATTGTTTGATACGCATGACAGCTGTTTTCATTTTCTTTTCTTGTGAACATAACAATGACTTTGTTCTTAAGTATACAAATTGTTTCTGCGTAGTTATGTTAATTTTATTGCAGATGAAAAAAAAAAGCCTTGGCATCCAAATGAGAACAATTGATTGTTAATAATACATGAAGCTATTTCCTTAATAAACAATCATTTTATAGATTATTTGAAAAAAGACTTCCCTGGAATAAAAAAAAAAAATAGTAAATTGTATGCTTAACAAACATTTTATCTTAAAGCTATTTGAATAAATGAATCTTAATGTTAGATTTGGTTATTCTTGTTGACGACACAATCACATTCAGTTTGAGTGTACATTTGAGCGTGTGAAGACAAACATGTTGGGTAATGATTAAAAAATATTGAACAATAAAATACATGCCATTCATTTCAATGCTTTTTATTTTGAAAGGATAAAAATATAAGCGAATTAGTAAGAAATCGATAGTTTATAGCGTCAAAAGATGTTTCTTAATGTTTTTTTCGGAAACGACAAAAACAATATGAGGAAAAATATTTCAACAAGAAAGAAAACAACTTGAAAAATTAATAAAAGATGGTGATCCATAAATAAAATTTATTGAGAAGACGAAAACATTACATTCAAACGAATGGTAGAATTTTTTTACTATATGTTTGTAAATGCTGATCGGTATTAACAGTTTCTTTTGAAGAATACACATGTGTAGTTCCTAAAAAATGATGTTTCAACGTTCAAGATGGTTTCAATGATTTATAAAATAAAGGAACTTTCTTGAATTAATCTTTCTTCCTTCATGCTGAGAATTGATATGAACTTAAGATGAGCACAGAACCGCGTGAAATTATAAGGGTGTGGGTGTAGGTTCAGATCTTCCCTCCATTCATACCCACTCAGAACGATATTTGTCTGAACGCGTTCTTCACCATTTGTCATAATAAGTCGATCTGCTATTTATTTGTTGCTAGACCATTTTACTATAATGGTATAGTGTTTCATTTACTTTTTAGCTTTCATATAAGAAAGCAATAGTTATTTTTATTGTTATGAATTTATTTTATTGTAACAATGAAATGTTATTTCAATGGTCATATGTATGATATTAATATCTACATCTGCTCACATCATATTTTTCTTTCTACGCTATAAGTATGATTCACTCGATTTCTCTATACTTCAACAACAAATATTTGATATGCATACATAGTGACAGGATGAAAGAAAAGATATGAGCTATTAAGAATAATAGACACACCTGTGTCAAACTAGAGTGTGATAAGAATGAGAAAAAGTATGAACAGAGAGATATTTATAATTATTTATAAAGACTCATATACTTGAAATCTAATGAGTCGCTGAGAAAGTGGTTAGTACAAGAATAAAAGAGATTCTAATCGTAATTAAATTATTTACTCATCTTATCTGAAAGACAAATATCTAAAGAGAAATTAGAATGCAAATAATAATAAGAGCAACATAAGATAACATGTAGTACAGATAAGAGACATCGTCAATAGAAAGATCATTTCATTTTTTCTTAATTTTATAAGTGAATCTGAGTTCACTTCGATTATGAAAATCATATCTTGAGAAATAAGTAGTGGGTAATGGATGCATTAACCTACCTCTATTACTATCACTAGATAAGTTGTTTTTTCTGTTATCTTCTTAAAAAAAAAAGCTGTTGGCCCCTTACTTTTATCTATTTCTATTTATGTCCCAATACCTAATATAGATGTATTATCTAGTTAAAATATTTACAAAACAATAATAATAGTGACGATCATGACCGTTGGTTTAATATTATTCTTTATTCTTGTGATTACGATCAATGCACAAAAAGGAAATCTTCCTGATTGTAAATCAGGTCCACTTTCAACATTTCCTATATGTAATCAATCCCTTCCATCACGTCAAAGAGCTGCTGATCTTATTAGTCGTATGACAACAACTGAAAAAATTACACAACTGGTAACAACAGCAGCTGCTATACCTCGTCTAGGTTTACCTAAATATGAATGGTGGTCTGATTGTTTACATGGTGTCGGATATGCTCCTGGTGTTTCATTTGGTGGTGATTTACCTGCAGCAACTAGTTTTCCAATGCCAATCAATCTTGGTGCATCATTTAATACTGCTCTTCTTCATCGTATTTTCTCTACTATATCAACTGAAGCACGAGCATTTAATAGTGAAGATCGTGCCGGTTTAGTTTTTCTTTCACCAAATATAAATATATTTCGTGATCCACGATGGGGTCGTGGTCAAGAAACACCAGGTGAAGATCCATTTCTAACATCTCAATATGTATATGAATATGTTAATGGTTTACAACGTGGTGAAGATGAACGTTATTTAAAAGTTGCTGCTAATTGTAAACATTATGCTGCGTATGATTTAGAAAATTGGAATGGTACAGATCGTTTTCATTTTGATGCACGTGTTAGTGATCAAGATCTTATTGAAACATATTTACCACCATTTGAAACATGTATTCACGATGCAAAAGTTGCAAGTATTATGTGTAGTTATAATTCAATTAATGGTATTCCTGCATGTGCTAATCAATTTCTAATTAAAACTATTGCACGGTAAGAAAATCTTTTCTAATGAAAGAAAACAATTCCTTTTTTTTTTGTTTTTGGAATACTTGAATTTTTATGTTTTTCTTATAATAGTGAATCGTATCATCTTGATGGTTTTGTTGTTAGTGATTGTGATGCTATTGAAATAATTATGAATGATCATAATTATACATCAACAGTACAAGATACAATTGCTGTTGCATTACATGCTGGTACAGATCTTGATTGTGGACAATTTTATTTAAATTATACTCAACAAGCATTAGATAATAAAACTATTATTGAAACTGATATTAATCAAGCACTTGAACGAACATTTAATGTTCTTATTCGTCTTGGTTATTTTGATCCACCTGAACAACAACCATATAGAAAATTATCACATATTAATGTTGATACAATAGAAGCTAGACAATTAGCATTAGATGCTGCACAACAAAGTATTGTTTTATTAAAAAATACAAATAAAGCATTACCATTAAATCTTAATCAATTACGAAATAAAAAAATTGCATTAATTGGTCCAACAGCAAATGCAACACGTTTAATGCAAGGAAATTATTATGGTACACCACCATTTTTGATTGATCCTATTACTGGTTTTCAAGAAGTAACAAAAAGTAAATATGAATGAATTGATTTCAATTGAATGTTGTTTTTTTTTATTTATTTTAAGATTATTCGATCGATATTTCATTTGCTTATGGTTGTAAAATATCTGATGATGATGAAAGTGGTTTTGTAGAAGCTATTGAACTAGCTTATACATCTGATGTTGTTATTTTCTTTGGTGGTATTGATCAATCCATCGAAGCTGAAGGTCATGATCGAGAATCAATTGCATTACCTACTGTCCAATTAACATTAATTCAACAACTTGAAAAAATTGTTTGTTCACCTCTTCACGTTGTTATTATGTCTGGTAGTGGTCTTGATCTAAGTTACATACGCGATTCTTCTGAATCTGATAGTCTTATTTGGATGGGTTATGCTGGACAAGCTGGTGGTCTTGCTATAGCTAATGTTATGTTTGGCCAATATAATCCTGGTGGACGTTTACCAATTACATTTTATCCTGCATCATATATTAATGATGTTAGTATGTCTGATATGCAAATGCGACCATCACCAACGAATCCTGGTCGTACATATAAATTTTATACAGGACAAGCAGTTTTTGAATTTGGTTATGGTCTTTCATATACAACATTTAATTATTCATGGTATAATAATTCAATGAATTCAATATTTTCTATAAGATCTTTAATGAAAAATAATTATAATGAAAAGAAATTACATCTTCAATTTTATCGTGTTAATGTAACGAATATAGGTCAAATAGTAGGTGATGATGTTGTTCTTGCATTTATTATACCACCGAGAAATTCCTTCAATGATCCATCACCACCTCTTAGAAAATTATTTGGTTTTAAACGTGTTCAATTAAATATTAATCAAACAATTCAAGTCTTTTTTCCATTAAATATTGATTCATTATTAACCGTAGCATATAATGGATCGAAATGGTTAGAACCAGGTTCATATAAAATTCTAATTAGAAAACAACATATGCATACAGTTTATTTACGTGGACGACCAACTCGATATTCTTAAACTTAAACTTTTTGTATGATGAATGTATACTTTTTTTTTTCTAAATGTAATATAAAGTAGAATCATGAATATGATAAACGAATAAGATGAACCTTTTATTGGAGATTATCAGATTTAGCAAAGCATTATTCTTATATTATCCTCATAGATGACATTCATTATAATCATTCATGAACTTATTTGTCTTAACATATATCTAAGCCAATCCAAAAGTAGTGATACCCGCATGTTAATAATTTTCTAAGTGCATGTGGATATCCTTGACAAACTTTTCTTCATTCCCACACCCACTCCTAATACATGTATGTTTTCGGAAGAATTTTACCATGAATTATTGTTAAAAACTGTTCAATGGACTAATAAAATGTCATTAGTAGATGTTGTCAAAGTTATTGTAGAACGTATCGATGAAACTGACTTCTACTATTCAAAAAATCATGGTTTGTTCTTTTTTGTTTTTGAATAGTTATCGTTTTTTTTATTAACATTGTGTTTTCGATTTTGTTTTAAAAGTAGTTGAAGAATATGCAAAAAATCGAACTGAATTCATTGGAAATAGTGAAAAAACATGCATTACCACGAGATTATATTATCTGATTCTTTGTTATCATGAATAAATAATACAAGAAAAAAAAATCCTTCTTAATAATTTAATTGAGGTTTTTTTTAAATAATCTGAAGTCTTCAGGTTAATTTTTATATTCGGTATTGTAAGGAGTACCGTCAGTGAGATTAATGATTGATTGGATAAACAATTTTTTCAATTTAGATAATTTTTTGAATAGTTTTACTTAAGTATGATCCATAAAAGGTATCAAATAGTGATTTTGATAGCTATCACAAATGGGCTACAAAGCTGAGATATTAATACTCTCTTAAGCTCAATTATTTCATGAGCTATTTTGCTACAGCAGATTAAATTTTAAGGCAATTTTTATATTTTATTAGTTTTTTCTTGTTCAATAATCATTAATAGCTTTTTTTGTATATCATTCGTTCTAACTGTCATCTGTGTAACGCGATCCACAGTCAGTACAATGATTTAGTGACTTGTGAAAGAAAAACAACTGTGTAGAAAATATTATTCGAATCGTTCATGACAAGTAAAACTTTTGCATCGACTGAAGAATGTATACATAGATAACATTCGAATCTCATTCGAAAAATTTATGAAATATTAAAATTGTCTTAAAATTTATCTACAGCAGCAAAATAGTTTATGTAATAACTAAGTTTATGAGAGTATTTATATCTTACGAGGAAATCTCGTTAAATGTCAAATCGCTTTTCGATGTTCATTTGATGAGTAATAGAAAAGTCTTGAATGGATTTTTCAATAAAAAGTAATGATTACCCTCAGGTCTCCTGAAAAATCAATCTTCGACTTCAAACTTTATACGAACAAAGTTCTCAATGAAACTTGTTCCTTGGGTAAGTTCTAACTTTTCTAGTATCTTCTATTCTAAGATATTCAATATTTGATATTTTCTCACGTGTAAAAATAAATTTTGTTCATATGTTGATATCTACAGACAGTAATTAAATACAAGTTGTACAATCAGTTAATCTCGCTAAGAACTTTATTCGTGCAAAGTTTGAAATCGAAAGTTAGTTCTGGAAAATCAAACCATTCTGAACTTTTCTATTATTCATCAAATGAATATTCAAACGTGATTTGATACCAGGAGAGATTTCCTTGTCATCTTTATAGCTCATTTTAATAGCTATCAAAAACAGTATTTGATATCTTTCAGAGTACATCTTCTCATAAAACTATTCACAAAACAAACAATACCTTAGATTTTTTGTCTCTCATTTTATTTGATTATTAGTTAATAATATCAGATTCTTCTGTGAAGAACAATCGCTTACTTGATATCCGACAAATTTCATAGACTTTTCATTTGGGTAAAAGAAGCAAGTTGGTGCTTATGATAAAAAATTAAAAGGCATTTGTTTTTGCTGT